CACCCACCCATCCTGTACACAGCATGCAATATCCGACAGTATGAATACACACAAACTCAATTAACAAACAACCAAGCATTCAAGTAAAGAGTTGTTGGCCATCAATTTCAATAAAAGCAAAAAATAAATGATTTAATGTATATACCTTTAACAGTTATTGCACCTAATTTTTTATACTCCTCAATTTTAACATATGTAGATAAATATTCCCATTGGAGAAATCAAAGATTTAATCATAATACCAGTCATTATATAAGATCAATAATTTCAAATTCGTAAAAAATTTCTATATTGAAGGCAACTATGAAATCCATAATAGCCCTTATGAATTAAAAAGTCATGGGTACACATAAATCTGAGTTTATATAATTATAAAACAGGTATTAGAATAAAGAGATAATTTAATAACAAATGCAGTAAGAAAAAAATTCAATGAATTGACTTTCATCAATAATAACTGTCTAATTTATGAAGAACTGAGAAATAAATCACAAATCTCTTGCTCTTTCAAGCAACTTCAATTGCAAAAAGAGATGTTTAAGAATATGTTAACTTACGTAAATATTCATTGTTTCATTCTGTAAAACTTATATACTGATAAATACATCACACTGTAAATGAACTAATACTTTTTAGCAAATACAAATAAACCTTAATCCTATTACTAAAAAAAAAATTTCATTGATAAATATTTTAACCTACAACTTATGAGTACAAATTGGTGGCACTTTTCTAGCTGAAAAGGCTGAGAGCTTAACAAATGTGTCTTAAGCTTATATATATGTGGATTTAAATTTGTATTTACTGTTTTATAATTAAGCTTATGAAAATATAATTGGCCAGCTGGGAAGCAAATTCATAGGGTGAAATGAAAAGTAATTTTGTCAAATGAAGAAGAATAAATTCATACTTGCAACGCAAGTACAAGCAATTTTATAATGCCAAATTGGATAAACAAAATCACAAAATTAAACAACAAAACAATAACTGCTCTAAACGATTTAAAGGCTGTTTTACCATAAGTGCACATATGCAGATAGTTTTATCAGTTACATTGTTATACTTCCTTGAAGAAATTATTAAGAACATTCTCTTTCTTTACACTCAATAAAAGCTTAGTTTTACAAAGTCCATTTGGTACCGTTGAAAGCAATGTGTTCAATGTCTCAACGTTCTAAATTAGAAAAAAATAACTTTAAACCCTTCAATATTTTGGAATCAAATGTAAATCACTCCCACAATAAAAATATTGTTTGGTTTTTCGATCATTGTAATGGTGAGTGGTTCAAAAACGAATCAGTCAAAGCAAAATTCACGTCCACAATGTCAACTATAACCCTTTCCTTCATGTAGCCACACTGTTCATAGATAAATTGATAAAAAACTACTGCTTTTGGGTACTAGGAGATAGGTTTGTAATTGGCCTGAATAAACAAAAAAATTATTTTTCAATCCCTCCCCCCACTCTATTACTTAAGTTTTGAATTCATGAACCAAAATGATACCATACTTTGAAATAATAATAGTTTTGAAATCACATAACAGAAACAATTAAAAATGAAGAAATAATCTAAGGAAAAGGAGAATCTAAAGATTACAAAAATACTGGAACAGGAGAAACAATATTAAAAAGCAAACAAAAAAACAGTAATATGAACTTTTGCCACTCATGGCTCTGATCATGAAAAGAATGTTTGATTTGATCTTATCAGACTCATCTACATCAAAACAAGAGGAAGTGCATTATATAGAACTCCTTTTCATTTGTGTTGACAAATTGATGAATCCAAAGACTAAGATCAGTAAGATAATAGGCTTGGAAGATGTCACAGAAATAAATCGTGAATAAATTAAATTACGTTTTTTAAGGAAGCATAGAAATCTCCATGATCTCCATTGATTACTGGTATGTTAATTCTGAACAAATAAAAAATTATAAACGACAATACTTAGAGTGCTTACGCAAATGTTTTCTCCTTGTATTACCGAAGGAAAACTCGTGTTTTAGGAACTTGATAATATTACTAAATCTTTTTGCTTTCACATTCATGTCATGATGTTCCTTTACGAGGACCTGAAATAACCGAGTTGAAACATAGCTTATCACTTTTTATTAGTGTATGAAACTATTTTGTAAATAATTTTCATATTAATTGTTAACTTGGGTATAATTTGCACAATATGTGGGTTTTAGTATCCATTGATTTCTCTGAATATAATTTGTAAAATAATTATCTATGGGGGGAATCATTGCTAATATTTATGTAAGACAAAAGTATCCTCAAACATTTGAGGTGTTCATCAAAACAAACCCACAGAACACCAAAAGCACACAGTAATATGATAAATTAGTGATCACTGATAAACAATACCATATAAAATACAAGATGTAATTTTGTCAACCTTTTGTTTTAGACCCAAAAATTCTTACAATGTAAACCTGAATATAGTTAACACAAACATTTTCATAATTTTCAGCATTGTAACTAATTACGAGTCCTAGAATATTAAGGAATTTGAAGATGTTCCCATTCATTAATCATATAAACAATTAAGAATAATTTGAGGAAACCTTGTACCTTACATTTTGCTTCTTAAAGCATTATTATATTCAGGTATTAAACAAAGCTTTAAATTGTGATTTTTTTAAATTACAACAATGGTTTATTATTCTCTGGAAGGATTTATCAAAAACAAAAGTACGTCCTGTTTCAACTGTTCAAAAGTTCAAAAACATAGACACACACATTTTTTCTGACAAGTCCTGAGGTTTTTGAATTCCAATACTACTATATTCTCTGAAGAAACTCTCTGAAAAAATATTACTTCATCTTTGATATTCAATGTCTTACTCTGTGAGAAAATAACTGTTGGTCTTTTGCTCTTAAAAGAGCTGAAACAAATATACATGCCTCTTCAGTACACTGAATTCTAAATGTTGGGTCTCACAATAAACAACATCGAAAGGTCTTGGGAAACGACTACATAATTAAAAATAATACGAGGTATTTTCAACAAATCCAGCTCATATTATTTGTAAATAAATAAAAATTG